TCCCCCTCGCAGCCCCGCCCTCCTCCCCGCCTCCCAGCCCCTGGAGGCCGCCTGAGCTGGGGCCCTGCGTCCCTCTGCCTTCCCTCGCCACACTGAAGGGGCCCTCGGCATGGCCAGGAGCATCTTGCTGTCTCTGGGGGGGGGAGTGGGAGCCCCCTTCTGGGTGGTTCTGGAGCTGTGCTGTGCAGCCCCTCCCCTCCCCCTCATCAGGGGCAGGAGGGTCAAAAGGGATCCGTCATGGGGTCATCCCAGCCTTCTCCTCTGGCATGACCAAGTTAACCCAGCTGCCTAGGCCCTGGGCTCCTAGCCACACCCTGTCTCTCCCTCCCATGTACACTTGGGCCTTCTGCGTAGGGCGGGGAGCAATTGAGGAGCTGGAGTTCAGCCCCAGTCCCTGCAGGCCCCCTCTGCCCAACAGTTACACGTGGGGTCCCCTGGTGGCCCACAGCCTGTTCTGCACCTGCCCCTGTCTGGCATCAGCTGCACCCTCCACGTCTGGCACAAGCTATGCCCTCTGCCTTGAACCCTTCCCCCTTTCCTGGCTCATGCCTACTCCCCTGCTGTGGAGAAGCCACCCCATGTCCCTCCACTTACCCCTGCCACTGCCCCACACCAGGGTCCAGTTCAGAAATGTCCATGTAGACTTGGGGGCCCTGGAGGCTCCCCACCCTGTGCAGAGGAGGAGGAAGGGCACTCCTAGCATTGAGCAGGGCCATACGTGTGTGCTTGCTGGAAGTACTAAAGTCAGCAGGTCTTGAGGCTGGCAGGTGCAGAGGGCAGTGCCCAGGGGATTCTGTCCTGCTGTAAGGGGGGCCTTGGGCTCCCAGCTGGGCTAAGTCTCATCTGGGCCCCTCCCCCTGTGGTTACTGTTGCAGGAAGTGGCCGCCAGGGCAGCAGTCTCTGTGCTGGGCGGAGGGAGGGTGGTGGCTGGCAGGGGCCTCGATCAGGAATGTGTGTCCAGGAATGTGGCTGCTCTGCCTGTTGGGGGTGGGGAGACAGGATGGGGGTAGCTGGGAGGTCCTCAAGTGCCAGTAGGACAGCATGCAATTGCTCCTGCCTCCCCTTGGAGGGGGTTGGCAGGGTCTTCCCTGCCTATGGCTGCCCATTTTTGCTTAAGGTCCTGCCAGGGGAAAGAGCCCACTCGATGAGCTCACCCTTGTCTGTGGCTCCAGAGCCTTGGCCAG